TACACAAAGAGACAGAAAAAGACGATTCTAAAACTTTAAAAAAGTGACTCATACAACAGGAGACAGAAAAAGACGATTCAGAAAACTCACCGAAGTGACACATACAAAAAAGACGGAAAAGGGTGATTCACAAACTATACAGAAATGACTCCTACCGTACCGCTGAAGTAAGTAAGAAAGAGCCTGCGACTAAGTAGCGGAAGCCTCGCATTATTTAGCTGGTGATGCAGATAAATAATGTTATTCAGAGAGCCGGATACTGTACAGAGGCCTCCTGATACTATACCGCAAGGCTAGTAGCCTGATACTTTACGGTGGAGAAGAGGGTTGGGGTCCCGGGATGACGAAGTGTTTTCTGGTGATGTAGCGCCCCACACTTTGTAGTATCGACCCTACGTGCGCCGCTGAGCGACGGGCAAACAAACGAGCATCGTCCTGCTGCGCTCTCCAGCACGCGCCGCACCTCTGTCGCTACGTCACGACATACACGCAAACAGTTCATTCGCTCATAAACGATTTATTTAGACAAATGAAAAAGTAAGTAATTCGATCTGTACTTGCTATAGATATGTAGTTCCTTCAGGGATGTGCGAAGCAGTCGTACCAATAAACAAATTTCACTTGACGTTAGATTATATTTATATCAAAACTTGAAATGCGGCGTGAGCTAAACGGGAAAGAGTAATCGTGGAAATATGTATCCCACGGTGATTTTTTTATTACTGCTTTCATGATAATCGTTAAGTGCTGAAAATAAAGTTTTGATTGAGATTTACCGACACATTACTAAATTATAGAGTTATGCCAGGTTTTATTTTTTGACACCTACGTTCATGGAAAATGGATATCCAAAGATATAAGTATTAGTTTCTAATGTTTCGAAAAATATCCATGAGTTAGAATGAGAAGGGGTTCATTCAAGATAAGAAACATTTTGGATGGGAACTATAGCACCAAATAGTACTGCAATGAACACGTGACGATTTAATTGTGATTCGAAAAAATATCAATCATAAATTTGTTTTCAATTCAGAGAGCAGTGATGGAACATATTGATATGTTTATATTTGAATTTTTTTAAGACACGTGCAGTTATTCAACACGCTATTTTCCGTGCATGTTTTCCGAGCGGTCATGTAATATTTTTCTGAACCCATTTATTAAGCAATGAGAAATAAATATATAACGCTTTTACATTATGCTAACCATCAACGAAATTGATAAATCTAAAGAAACTGCTGAAAATGTTATTCACTTCTTCTGGGGCTAATGGTTACTTCTGCCATATATACATGATTTTATAAAACTCTGTCTGAGAAGGAATATATTTGGATTATAGTATTAGAATTTGATTTTTGAATAATTTGTTCGAAAAGCTTGGTTTTGGCTTTACATTAACGCAGTGCGGTTGAATAGGATAACGTGCTAAGAATTTAACTAATCGAGACGCAATCAGCTCTCAAAAGTCTACGGAAGAAGCTCGTAAAATTTTATTATGAGCATTAACGTATTTACACGCAATCCTGCCAGCACATACGTTGACTTACGGATATATTGAAATATATATTGTTTCATAATAGAAGTGGTGTTTAGAAGACATGTACAATATATAAAAAGTGTACAATTTAGGAGTGTACAAGTGTATATATACAGTACCCAATTTAAACCGCAGATGCAAATTTTTTAGAATTTATTGTCATCTCATATTATTAGTGTGTACATTTCCTTTTATCTGCTGTACTTTTGATTTATAAATAAAGTTACATGAAGTGTAAAGTGTACTCAAATAGCGTCCACAAACTGGAGCTCTATAATTTTATTTCGCCCCAAACAATTATGATCCAGGACATAACAGGAAAATTTTCAAACTGACTTGACACAGTAGCATAGACGATATGAAAAGATATTTTGAGGCTGTTCATTTTGAAAATGACTGCTTTATCATTTGTCGGGTTTCAAATTTGCCATCTCACAATTTTTCTAATTTATTTTTCTTAATTTGATTTTTTCGCCTAACAGTCGAACTCTCAGGCATGTTATTTATTCCTACAAAATTCGAATAAAAATAGCCGTCTCATCCAATAAACTTTTATTACTTTTTTTGCTTTCTGAGACCTTTTTAAGGTCTCGGAACATTGATTTTATTCACTCACTCACCTATTGAATTCATATATTTAGACAATGAATAGTTTTACTTTCACCTATAGTCGATCGTCCAATTCACGATATATTTTCTCATTTATATAGTTTTTATGGGAAAATTATTAACACTCACAACAAATTAACGGCTAAGTTAAATAGTTCAATCCTATTGCTTTTCGTTTTGAGCTGAAATCAAAGTAATGATGTGATGCCGGAATTTTTAAGAAATGCGATTTTATTCTCAAGTATCTAAATTACATGTTTCTGGTGAAGACAGAAAATAGAAAGTCTAGATGTGCAGCGTATGTTAAGTAAATCAACTTTGTTAACATTCGACTCAAGAACCATCAATAATTTGTCCAGCAGATCCAGTTGGTGCAGCGCATCCAGCAGCTCCAGTTGGTGCAGCGCATCCAGCAGCTCCAGTGGAACGTCGCTACACAGTCGCCTGCTACTTATAAAGGGAACGTCGCTACACAGTCGCCTGTTACTTATATACATGGAACGTCACTACACAGTCGCCTGCTCCTCATACATGGCATGGCGTTACACAACGACGTTACACCTCATACAAAATTATTACGTTAATTTACATCTTAAGTACAGTGTGTGGAGAGCTGTGATGAAGCATCCTGCAATGATGTAATAAATTATGTTTAAATGACAGACCAATTTCACGGAAGTACATTTCAATACCAATAGTATAATTATATGTTTACACAGACGATCATAATAGTTTTGTTGCGTAGCTCTCAACATGACGTATGGCGTCATGGTGAGAGCCTCGCACCGACGTAAAATCACTTTTGTTTATGAAGTTATTTCGTCATAAAACCATGCAATGGAAAACTATCACCTGCTTTTAATAATGCAAATTTGCAGGAGTCATTCTAAATCGTCAGTTTTGCCATTATTTTCAGTAGTTGCTAGAAATAAATTCACTGATGTATCAATGCTTTTCTGTTTTGGAAAATTAATAAAATTATAATTCAACTACAAGTGATAATATTCGAATTTATTAAGGTTGAATAGCTCTAATCTATTCTGGAGCTTTTTCTGTAATACTAGTATTATAGATGAAATGCATTGTCAATTAATATTAAAAGGTATCATACTACTTGAAAAGTGAATCGTAAGACCATGGAATGACACCAACAAATTAATTTTGTGAAATAACGGTTTGCATTAGAGGCAGAGAGCGCTTCCAGCGATGCCAGCAGCAGCGCTGAACTCGTCCCGCCCCGCGCCTGGAACTCCGACGCCATTGGCCGGCAGCAGCAAGCCCCCCTCTCATCATCCATGACATTATCACGCATTTAGAAACTTAGATGATTAAAATATCAAACTGTTTTCAATGATAAAATATTGCATGTCATTTCGAGAATAGGTTTTTTCAATTGCATTGTGAGATTTATGTATGGAATGGGACGTTCCAGGTCCGAAACCCCCTTGGAATCCATGCTTGCTGGGAACCTGGATCGTGATTGGCAGTGAGTGGCACTTGCGCATTCCAGGCAAAGATGCGCCGCTCAACAGACACTGGCATGACGAGCTTCTGTTGTCTTCGTGGGACCAGTATCATGTTTGGCACATTCGCGAAAACCGCCTCAATTTCTTATGGACCAAATCGCTAAAAATTAAAGCCATTAAAAAGAAAACCGGTAAAACCCTATCTGAAATCAATGATGCATTAGAACGAGTGTGATGAAAAGTCAAATGCAGTTCAATAGAAAGAGAAAAACAAATATTTAGGATTTACTGTTGTACGTGAAATGGTGGACGCTGAACTAAAAATGGCATGAGAGACAACGAATGGATGGCAATAGAATCGGAAAATGTCATTTTGTGTTATGAGTTTAGGTTGATTTGTAAATGGCTTAAAAAGCACTAGAAAAATTTTCGTATCACTAATCACGAATGACTACAATTTGAGTCTACAATTTACTAGCTAATTGTGATATTCATAAGGTTAACATAATTATCTAGTCTAGAGTGACGTGTCATTGTGAAACTGATGTTTAAGGTATCCGAGTTTAAAATTCCAGAATAAACTTGTCAATATCAATCGAGATTTCCCGAGCAATGGCAATTATCTATCAAGTAAACGCATTGGATCGGAAACATAATTACGTTGAGTGAATGCTAGCAAGTGACAATGATGAAATCAGTAAGAAACGAAATGAAAATCATTGAATGATCCATAGATAACCTACAATTAATTGATAATGTTGAATTCATCAGTGTGTGTGTTTTCTTAAGCTAAAGTTTTGTTTCTAAAAGTACAGTGTAGATGTAGATGCAAACATATGCAAATTTCGATGTCGTAATTGGAGCTTTCGAGGGGAAGATCGATCGGAATTGTTTTTTTTTTTTATGAAAATATTATGCAAGTCTCAATGAGCATGTATATATCATCAAATGAAGTGCTTGATGGTTAATCATCACATACGCAAATGACGTTTGATGGTGCAGTTGATGACGCTGATGGTGCTCTGCGTGCAGTGGTCAAAAGTCATTTGAGTGCATCGCACTATATATAAATACACTCAAATGATGCTTTAAGAGCAACTTTAGGATTTATTTTTCTGTTATAATCGAAAATATAGCTTAGCATCACGTGATTTTTGTTATCAAGTAGCCACGAAAAAGGTCATCTTCATGCTTAACCGCAATTTCCTATATATTTTATATTCTCAGTAAACCAAATTATTCATAGAACTTCAAAAAGTGACTATAATAATCGTTTTTTTTTAATTTGATACCTTAATATGTTTTACTTCAGGATCACCATTCTTAAAAGATTTCTCTTTTACGCTGTCAGTAACCGATTCAATTTTGTTCCTTAGGTTCTATTGTGAACGAATTGATGAGTTGAATGCTTTCCCGTGCTTGGCCTTTCAGGAGTTTTTTTCCTACCGGTATTTCAGGAGGACAAGTTTTAGGCATGCAAATCTTGTTTTATAATAAATTATTCGCTATACATCGCCTAACAAATTATTGAAAGATGTAGGAGAAATGCAAATATTCATTCTATTTTCATGCGGACGCTCATAATTGATGAAGAGAACGAATTGACCTTTTTCCTAGTAAACCATCACACATTGGAAACATTATTAATCTGGTTAATCGATTTATGAAGCATCGAACGTACCATGTACGGCCTGGACTCTGATGGTTCGTTCGATAACGATTCCCTGAGTCGTCAGTTCTTCGAGTCTGCGGCCTTCAGTGAATTTCAAGCTGGCGTAGTTCTAGAGCCAGAGGAAGACAGTCCACCTTCAAGCCATCATGATCAAGAGAATACGGCAAGTATTATAATTTTATTATTTACACCCAACTGCAAAATATTATATAGGAAATTTGCCTTTTTAAGTGCTCTGTTTGCATAATGTGTTCAATGGTACGACATATTTTAATGATATTTAATGTGATATTGGATCACACATTAAGACACAGTCACATTTCTCAAAGAACCACACTACGGTGTTAAAATGTCAACGAAAGCTAAATAAATATTCTATTCACGAAGAAAGTTTGTCGTCTGGTTTACAGTTGGGCATTCGTCGTAAGAAACGCCGGCGCTGTTTACTAGCGCAGCTGCAGCAGCGCCAGGCCGCCAACATGAGGGAGCGCAAGAGGATGCAGAGTATCAACGATGCCTTCGAGGGTCTGAGGGCACACATTCCTACGCTGCCTTACGAGAAACGACTTAGCAAGGTAATTGATTCAACCTAAATTAACTCACACGTCTCAGACACATCGGTAAAGTGCTTACTCAAGTTTTGAATTGCGTTTGATGTACATTTCAGATGTGGGTACACTTAGAAATGGATAAGCCAAACTAAAATAAGAGATCTTTAGGCTTACTTCCTTACGCTTCTTCTCGCCTTGTAGATAAGCTAAGAGATCTCGGGTCTTACTTGCTAAAACTCCTGCGTAATATGTTACAAGGACTTCGGGTTGATAAAGTAAAGCGTCTTGTGTTTATTTTCGCTAACTTGGTTAATTAAGGGGAAGTAAGATGCTTTTTCCAATTTCTTTAGTCTCAGTATTGAACTCTAAATAAACAACAGATTGTTACAGGTAAATAAAAAGAAAACTATTATAAACATTCTAAATAATTTTCGGCTATTGAACAAACACAATAACAACAGAATAGCAAATCCTACACTCGAGTACTTAATCTAATAAGAGGTACTGGTGCGGTGAACAAAAATACTAGATGTTGGAATGAAGTCAACTATTGTTATGTTCAAGGTGGTGACGCTCATCTTCAGACAAAAAAAATTATTTACGTTTAATTCTAATTCTAAATATTCCTGTTTTATTATTTGAGGACTTAGAACCTATACGTTACAAAACTACAAATCATATTTAATTAGATGCATAGTTTCTTACGAGCATTTCAGCGTATGTGTATTCACAGATCTAATGAAGTACAATTTTTTTTTTTGAGGCTTAATGCTTTGAAGGTTTCCCTTCCACGCCAAATTGAGACCTTTAACTAGGTACGAAGTTCATGATGATGAATCCTATTCTTCCAATAACAATATGCCGAAAAAAATTTACTTTATCAGACTTGAATCGTTTCAGAAACCGATAATAGCTGTAACCTCCGAATTCCCAAACTGGCAACAGAGCTGCCAGAAATGAAAAATTCTTGTTCTAAACACTCGCATGAAGTTAGAAAAGAATTCAGTTGTTAATAATCTCTTTTTCATCATTCCAGTAGCAAACAACCCGGAGCAAAAATTTGAGAAATATAGCACTATACGCTTTTATAGTCAATGCAGGAATTACAGACTATGCTAATCTTCCTTCAAAGTACCATTACTGCATATTGTTTTACTCTCATTAATCGAGCTGATTGGACAAATGGATTCCTGTGCCTGTTCCCTAGTAAAATTAATTACTTTAATAACAAAAAACGTGAGGTTAATATTTAACCGATAATTTTTCAACACAAGATTTATTTTCGCGATTCAGAGCTGATACTAGCTTTTCATCACAATTAATAATGGTTGTAGAAAGTTTGTTTAAAATCTTGTCCCAGTTTAATTTCCAGTTATTCCGAGCTACATATATCTCAGTAGATCGGTCAATAACTAGAGTTTCATTTATAAAATTATACAGTTTAGTAGTTCCGTTCGTCGTCGGTTCTTTCGTGACGAAGTTACATTTCATTTTCCCCAAGTGCATTTGTAATGGCAAGCCTACACAGAGCTGATGCATCTGATTTTGAATTTCAGCAGAATTTTATAGCTTAAAGATTCATAGAATGCATTCTTCGAATTTTTATTGTTTCTTCGGTGCAGGGGTCCGACGTAGAGTGCAAGTGGACAATTGTACATCAGCCCAACAACCATCGTTACTACTGATGACTAATAATCCATGTTTATCTTAATTGCCGACTCAGCATATTTCGTGCCAGCTTCAATTTGAAACAACTGTCTCTTGTTCATAAAGAATAATCTGTAATTCAATATGGTGATCAAGATCTTAATTAAAGAATGCTGGTAAAAATGTTTTATGCCTTTTGGAGCGAGATTTCTTCTTCTACTAAGTCTGCTGTTCGCAATGTTACTATGGGAAAGTTACAATAAAAAGTAAAACATTCATCAGGTTGACACGCTGCGTTTGGCGATTGGGTACATCAGCTTCTTAGCAGAGCTTGTCGCAAGCGACAGAAATTCTGGTGATCCTCACCAGAGGTCCACGCAAGTGCAGCAGCAGCCCAGGAAAGTGGTCGTTATCGGGAACAGAAGTGAGTACCTTGTATATGTGAACGATGTTCGGGCGAAAAAATATCGAGATGACGTGTAAATCGCAGCCTATTGGCTTAGTCCATTGTCAGATTGCAACAAATTTAAATTTGATGACTTCTTATAGTACATGCTACGATTAATCACCGAAAGTGGTGGCTGTGACTTGAATTCGTTAGGGAAATTATATTTATTTTTCGTTTTTTTTTATCATGGTTATAGAAGTTTCAGTTTTACGTCAACTACGATTAAGAATCCTATACAATATACATCCTTTTGAAAATTTGTTCTTCTTGAAAGTGACATAACATTTATATTCATTTATTAATATATTTATGACATAATAATGTATTCAATGATGAGCACTGATGTTTTACAGTGACAATGGACAGCACCCCGCACTCGCTCACTTGGGGCTTCGCGCGGCCAACGATCATCAACGGCCGAGTCGCTGCCAAGATGTGGGTGCCTAGTACGCAGCAGAAGACAACGTGAGGTGGAACCCAGCTAACTAACCACAGGTCTAAATCTCAACGTTTTATGTGCAGGAAAACCCGCTGGCTAATTAAGATTCAAATTTAAAGTAACCTTATGAAATTGCAGGTGAGAAAGTTATCGTATTTTACCGGTAGTCAGTACATCGGAAATAGTTTAGGGCACTGAAGCTGAAGTATTTATACTATCTAATCTGAGATCTGACTCTTAAACTCAGTGTCGGCAGATCAACAGTAACCTGTAAATTGTCAAGTGAGTGATCATCCGAGAAACTGAAGCTACTTTTACATTGCATAATAGATGCTGAGGTTTGCATTACACGTGATTCTTATCATGTTTTTATGATGTAGCAAGGATACAGCCATCACTACGGCCCTCATTCGTATCTTCTCGCTGTTGTACTAGCCGTTTTCTCTGTGCAACACTACTGAATTTCGAGACACTTAAAAACAAATGCATAAACTGTCTTCAATTGTCTATCAGCGCAAGTCGTATGCTCAAAAAGCAACGCCAGACGTCAACAAGCTAGGTTGTCAGAAACGCGCTAGTCAAAACAAAAATATTGTAGCAACCTGCAGCCGTTGAAATGGTAGTCGCCAAAGATATTGTTGAAAATTCCGCTGCACGTTCAACAATCTTAACCGCAAGAAGTTCGCCAACACTTGAAATATCTCACACCGCCGTGTTCAAAGTTTCATAAATTATTGTCGGCTCTCACTGTCGACTCGCGGCGGTTGTAACTTCTGGAGAAATCTTGTTCTGACGATAAGTTACTGTCAACTCAGCATCTGGACTGATCCACTCCCTGCTTAAATTGTGTGTAGATTTTGATGGGAATGTAATTAGTAATAATAATTCAACCACTTCCCACCATCGATACGGTGAACAGGGTTTTCATTTTTGTCAATGGCCCTAGCAATATAAACCCATCTTCACGAGTCTGACTTCAAAACGTTACATGACGCAAAGGAAGCAGTAAATTGCAATATCTTCCATACATACAGATATGTATGACGATGTACGCATTGTCGCACCAGGAGCAATCGTTCACTCCTTCAACGATATATTTGTGATGCTATTACGTACGTAGATGAATTTGTGAATTGCCACAACTTGTCTTAATGCTAGCGCCAGTTCAGCACTCCGAGTTTTATATCCTTCTGAAGCGCTCAGTAAAATTCAATCTTAAGTTCAAAATCTCCTAGATTACAGCCGACAGTTTAAATTACTGCCAAATTTGTATTCTGTGATACGTTATAGTTTAGTTGAATGAGTTTTGTACAGTACATTATAGTTCATCGTAATATGTTGATTATCTTAATTTAAGTCGAGTTATTTGTTTCAATCAAAATATTCCTTCACTTCTGCGGTTTCTTCCTCCGAAAAATGACGAAACGGCAGTTCGACGACGACCAAAAGGTTATACACTGAAAGATAAATACTCAAATGCATCACTAACATACTAAATTAAAAGTAATACTGATGCCTATGTGGATTCAAAAATGAATACTCCCAATAGAAACAGGCGCTGCTATTGGAAATGGTAAATTTCTTACAAGAATACGCAAGTTGTTTTAAAAACCTAAAGCAATCATTTCCATTCATGACTTCAACTGGCATTTCAATAAATATTTCAGTGCAAGTTACATAATGTCGGAGATTACCCACAAGAATGCAGAATAACTGTCTACGATATGTACGCCCAAAAATGTTTTTGCGGGAACCTAGAAAAAAATTGCTAAATAATGACCCTGGAAATTCTATAACGAAGGCTGGAAGTTATTGGACTGCAAATGATTGGTATCAGAACCGTATAGAGAACTACTCGTGACACATTAATTGCATTGTTATTTAATGTTCGATGCTATGAGAATGCCAAGTTGTAGAAACGGTCACCACAAAAGTCATTGAATTAGCGACTCCTCCCGTAAGTAATCATACCGCATACCGGCCCTGCGAGTAATCATACCGCATACCGGCCCCCGTGAGTAATCATACCACATACCGGCCCCCGTGAGTAATCATACCGCATACCGGCCCCCGTGAGTAATCAAACCACATTGAGTAATCATACCACATACCGGCCCCCGTGAGTAATCATACCGCATACCGGCCGCCGTGAGTAATCATACCACATACCGGCCCCCGTGAGTAATCATACCGCATACCGGCCCCCGTGAGTAATCAAACCACATACCGGCTTACGTGAGTAATCATGCCACATACCGGCCATCGTGGGAAATCATACCACACACCGGCCGCCGTGAGTCATCATACCACATACCGGCCGCCGTGGGTAATCATACCACATACCGGCCGCCGTGGGTAATCATACCACATACCGGCCCGTTGAGAGACGAGCCTTAAGTGGCATACCGGGTAACTAAACCGGAAAAACTTTCACCCTCGAAATAAATGAAAGAATACTCAATAAAACCTAGCATCTTGAGTACCTATCTTATACGAATCTAAATTTTGAAGAAGATTCTGCCTGCTTAATAATTGCACCTATTACTACTTGACCGCTCCTTGCTGCATTCAGGGCGAAAATAGAAGTATGCTCGGTAACACAAAAATTAAGCATAATAGCAATCACTGATTGAAGAATATTAGCCAATTAACTTCGATGCCAATCATGGTAGTGAAAAATAGCATCATAAAATTCCTGACCAAAGAACGTGGCGAATAACGGTAATTTAAATAACAGCGTCCAGTTATTATTATTATATTACTGTTGTTCTTTCTAGTTAGCTCGTAAAGAACAACAATTACAAACGTAGTGAAGTAAACAGTCTATTACGAATAGTCTGTCATGAATGTTGAAAAACGGCGAAGCATCAATACGAGTTTTTTAATACAACATCATGTCGGATATCCTAGTTTCCATTTGTATGCGACACTATGTGGCAATATCGTACCATTCAAATAAACAACGAATTTGATTAATTTTCATCCGAAAACCAGAAAAAATGCGCAAGTTGTATACAAAATGACATTTCTGATCGTTGTAAATGCCGTAACATTAGGAACAGGTTTAAAAACATCAACTTCAATAGAATGGAACTTCTAAGCAAATTATATGACTTATAATGAAAATTAAAATAGTCAAAAACAATACGACAGTCACAGTGAGAATTGCTCTAATATTTATAGGAGAAATCGTGCATGGTGGAGAGGGACAATTTGGGCGGGACTGCAGACGAGGAATGCGCTAGTAGTACGGCCGTCGAGGATTGTTCTGGAAAATATAGACGGACTGTAGATGGAAAAATGTCTTGATAATGCGGTTGCTAATTATTAGAAAATGCTGACCAGCGGCAGAATAAAAAAAAAATTTTGTGACATAGAAGTGCTTGATAGATTTGCGATGTAAATAGGTAGTCAAGATCAATCGTTGCACATATTTCAATTTAAATACTTTAACACATTCAATTAAATTGATGGCCTTTCTACACTGAAAATTCAAAGAGTCAACAGGTTTGCAATATAAAATGTTACATCTTCTTTTATATTTTTCAACTATAACATTTTTCAACAGAATTTGGATTCAAAAATTAAAATAAATAATGATATGAATAACCCCTCCAAGGGGTGGAACAGCAAAATAGATTCTTGCTCATAGAGGACAAGCAGAAAAAAGACTCGTGTCTAAATGTTTGGTCTCACTAAGACTTAGTCATGGCAATCACAAGAGGGTTGGGTCTCAATGTTCGCTCTCACTAAGACTGGAGTGTCAGTCGTGACACTCACGAGAGGGTTGGGTCTCAATGTTCGCTCTCACCAAGACTGGAATATCAGTCATGACACTCACGAGAGGGTTGGGTCTCAATGTTTGCTCTCACTAAGGGTACGGCCAGACTAAAAGCGTTGGCGCGTACGCAGGCGTACGCGCGCTCACGCTGCGATATTATATGTATGTATTTCTACCAGAGTGGCCACACTAAACGCGTACAGGCAGAAGCTGCTTCAAGCGTACACACGCGTTGCCGCGCGGTGGAAAATCGACATTACTCTAGACAAATATTTCGACGCGGACACGCGCGTGCAGTGTCCTTGAAGCAGCCATGAGAGAAGGATGTCGACGCATTGCTCTCGTCAGTTGAGGCGGTAACTGCAATATGGAATGCCTCTCACCCACAGCAAAGTGATAGGACATACATCAGCAACCAGTGGTCTATGATAGCTGATGCACTCAATATTTTAGCTAAGAACAGTAATAATACATTCTTTTATTAAACAAAGAAAATAGAAGTGAAGGAACTTAGTACTCAAAGTACTAGGATATTCTTATTGTTTATTTAGAGCATATGATACTGCCTAGCAACTTTTCCTGCATCTGATATGAAAAAAATTGTAAATTTTTTCGAACAACTGTTGCAATTCTAGAGCTGTTTCTATGAACGGGAGCAATTATAGTTTCATGTTGTTCATTCGATGCATTTAATTTCATTGATTTAAATGCCGTGTCTATATCAAATTTCTCCCTTACAAGAATCGTGGGCAAAACTGTAGTTGCTTTAGTTATTTCTACAGCATTATCCACGCTGGTCTCGATGGATTTCGTTAAAATTCTGAATTTTGAAGTCATAATGCCAAAAGCCCATTCTACACAACGCCGAGCTCTTGATAGTCTGTAGTTGAATATTTTTTTGCTTTCATCTAAGTTTTGGCGGGGGCATGGTCTCATTAAGTTTGGAAGCAATGGATAAGCTTCATCGCCTATACCTACTTAAGTTGCGTTTCATCATGACTCGCGAGGTATGCATCATATATAACCTATCAAATATCTATCTAATCTCATCTGAATGAATTCCAAAAAAGACAAAACAAAGTATATAGTGGATTTTTAAAGTTATCTTTTATTTTAAAACTTTCATCAAGGAGAACGGCTGTTAGTCTCTTGCTGTCTCTCATTTATACACACAGACTTGCAGTAAGCTGCGCGGTCCAGCGTCTAGTTTGGACACCATACGCGCAGCGCGGCGCCGCTCTGCTTGAAGCCTCAGCCAACGTACGCGTGAACGCTTTTAGTCTGGCCGTAGCCTAAGACTGCAGTATCAGCCATGACACTCACAAGAGAGTTGGGTCTCAATGTTCGCTCTCACTAAGACTGGAGTATCAGTCATGACACTCACAAGAGGGTTGGGTCTCAATATTCCCTCTCACTAAGACTGGAGTATCAGTCATGACACTCACGAGAGGGTTTGGTCTGAAGCGGTAGGAGAGCATCATTCGCTTCCTATAGGCGTCGTACTCGTTGTCCTCTTCTGACAAACCGTCGGGCGCTGCTATGCCCAGGCCGTGGTTTGCCGAGCGACCATTCTGAGATGTCAATAGTTAATTCTTTACTTTTATCAACGAAAAATCATTCATTTTCTTCAAATAAGAAGCATATAAAAATAATTAAAATAATATAAGTCTATAATACAACAACTGACACACATGTTTGCCGCACACAGCATAAGCTAGTCTTTCAATCTTTAACGTCCAAGAAAATGTTTGTTAGCATTCTTGGATTATGGTATTCAACTATGCAGATTGCAAAGAAAAAGTTTTCGAACCCTGGTGATTTCAGTACAAATGAGTGACCTATTAAAACTAGATAAAAAGACATAATTAATTGCTTATTTCAATTTAAGTTGAGTTATTTGTTTATATGAAAATATTCCTTCACTCCTGCGGAGATTTCTTCCCCCACCAACGATGAAAAGGATACAGCTGAACCTGGTTGACTGGCTCAATTATGTCCTTACTAAAACAAAAGCTTTTAACCTCTTCTTACTTCATGGCAAATGAGTTAATAAATAAACGAAGTGCAAAGGCAACACACAGACCTGGTTGACTGGCTCCGTAATATCCTTGCTAAAACAGAAGTTTTTAAACTCTTTTTAGTTCATGACAAATTAAGAAGGGGTGAAGAAATGAAGAAGGGGTGAAGAAAGCAACACACAGACCTGGTTGACAGGTTCTGTGATGCCCTTGCCAGCGGGGCCAAGCCCCTGGCCCTCCGTCCAGCCCATGCTCTTGAGCATCTTGTAGCCGATGTTGTCATCCGTCAATTTGTTGCTGCGGTAGTCTGAGAAATCCGGATCCCGGCCCTCCCGGATCGCGCAGAACTAGAAAACAGGTGGCATTTTATTTGAATTCTAATTAAACCAGAAATTGATTTCCAGTAAAATAGAAACAAAATTCTTTCATTAATTGAATGCGAAAAACAATTATAAGACGTAAGGCTAACAGAGTATTTAATTCAACAACAGTTGGTGCTGAAATAAACAAATTGATTAAAGTGATGGGTAAAGAAATGATGTAATATAATGAAGCTGTAAGCAAGAAACTTGAATGAGTAACTGGATAATTTTACTTGAAGAAACATCTATACGCAAAACAATGGGGGAAATTTTGTACGTGGGAAAATATTGAGGGGAAATTTTGCACTTGAGAATCAACTCTAAACACGCACCTTCTCCATGAACTTCTGGAGTTCTTCTGGAGGCAGGAAGTCACCGATGTGATGCTTGCCAGCACCCATTTCTGACAGCTCCTCCGCCCTCTGCCTCGTCTTCTCCATTTCTTCTTTACGCCTTAGTAATAACGCATTAAAACGTTGGTATTTTTTATTATCCAAGCTTTTGAAAATAAACGCTATATCACACTCTTCTCTCCTTATTTATTATTAGAAACAGAACTGAATGAGAAGGATTTAAGACAACACCATCATAGGGAGTTTTGGGTAATGAGAGTTCGTGCCAGAGTATAGAACCTTTAGAAAGCTCCATAAATGAAACGGTATAGTGCATCATAAATATATATAAAGAAAGCAAAGCTGTCAGTTAACAAAAATCTCTGTAATATTGTGGTACTTAGGATTGTTTTCAACTTAATCCAACATTGGTAGAGAGTGAAAATGCACGCTAAAATTACACCAATTTACGTACTAGCTGAAACATTGATACAACACAAGCTGAATGCATAAAATAAGTGAGGACCTAAAAATTTACATTGAAAATCTTCTTTTCACGTGAGCTGCATTTAGTATGTCCTATGTTAAACATGAATGAGCACCTTTTATGCTCCCAGGTGCCGCCCTCCGTGTCCTCATCAGAGTCATACTCGAACTTGACCTTGCCCTGCTGCTCTCGCTTGTCTGCAGCAGCTTGCTTGGCTTGCAGCAGTTGGAATACCACATTCATCTGAATCAATAACTTACATGAAACAAGGAAAACTCAATATAAATTTGTGATATAAAGTTTCAAAAACGTCAAGACTTGATAAATACATCAGGCTGAAGCCAGAGCCGCCAGTCAATAACAATTTTACTCGTTTACATCAATATCCGATTTACAAGAAACAATGTTATGAAGTTGTTCAAGCTGAAACTAATCTTCACTGCATTAGCTCCTTAGATCTGGAGCAGCATCAAGTAACAAAAGGGTTCCATTACACTGGGAAAACCGTTGCATCGCATACATAGGAAATGTTTAATTAATTTTGAGTAGCATCAACAATTTTGATGATCAGAATTAATTGGTTATGACCAATGCTCGGCATTCCAAACTTTTCACGTTTGGCGTTTTTAGTTACGTTTGATAAAGCATGTAAGAAAATTACTGTGATGGCGTCTTTAATCCTTCATCCAATGATGGAAACTAGTTACCTAACTTTAATTCAATAATTGTATGCAAAGACAAAAAATTTTTGGAGACAAAGATAGCGTCTTTAATCCTTCATCCAATGATATAAGCTAGTTACAAATCATTCAATAATTGTTTGCAATGACAAAGATTTTTTAGAGACAAAGCTGGCGTCTTTAATCATTCATCCAATGATGGAAACTAGTTACCGATCATTCAATAATTGTATGCAATAATTGTATGTAATAATTGTATGTTAATCTTTTGTCCGCCAAAGGGGGGACTCAAGCAACCGATCCTTGCACACAGTATTGAAGTACTAAGTGCCAAGACCTTGATCTGGTCCTGACACTGCTTCCACTGATCCTCGGTGAGATGCTCTGTGCTGCCGAACACTTGCTGTGCGTACGCCACGATTGCAGGAGAGGACCGAGTGAGCCTTGTCAACATCACCCCTTTGATGGCATCCAAGTGCTCTCCCTCGTGTACCATATTCATGATATTCGAGGGCACCGACAGACTTCTCACTCCTCCTAAACCTGAGGAATATTGCTCGTTTAGACAGATGAATTAAGCAGGATTGTGTAATAATGCAACGTCGTGATTATTTTTGTGAATTTTCTTGTTTGAAGCCAGACACTGAAAATACTGAGGCTATTTGAGTTTTCATCTATTATATGCATCATCTTATTTGGCAAACACAAACTATAAATGTATAGGCCCTCAAAATTACACACGGGAAATTTAATGGGAGCTCTACCAGATATTTTGGGAGTCAACGTTGATTTTTTTAATGAAAATAGGTACATTATAGGACTAATAATTTTTAGCGTTTTTAATGACTCCCGCATTAAGGATTCTCAAATTGCAGCAATTAAATAGCCTGATAACGCTTGGCATACATGCTAGAGTATTCTTTAATGGGATGCAATTCGTAACTTTAAACTTGAACATTTCGATTCTGTTGAGAAAAATATGTGTTTTTTTTGGCAATATTATGCTGTAATATTAGTGTTTAAGTTAGTGAAAAACCTAGTGAAATTGAAACAATTTAAATTTGAAGTTAAAGTAGGAATTTATTTACAATGATGAAACAAAAATATCAGGCATTCAAGTGCGCATTCTGACTATTTAGTCAGGTATGTATACATTAGAAGAGAGAAGGAGGCAAAAAAAAACATATAATTTCATTTTAAATTCTTAGAAGATTGACCTTATTATAGATATGCTATCGCTCTTATGACCTTATGACGAGTTTGGCACTTCCTAATCCCCGGTCACGCTGATGCGCCGCCTTCGTCTCCGATTCTCTCTAACCATCAGAATAATAAGACTATTTAGATTATCAGTTTCTCTTAATTTAGTGTAGACCTGGCACGACTGGAGCGGTCGGTGGGAGGGAAGGATGGAAGGCAGCGCCCACAGCAGCAGTTGATGGTGCAGACGGCGCCTCCCATCTGCTGCTTCTCTTGCTAGAGGGAACACTTGAGGCTGCAGGACAGACTGGACAGTCTCGTGAGAACCTAACGTCCATCCAGCCACAGTTATCATAACACCTTTAATATCATATCAAAATCACCTATAATAACTTGTAATCATGTCGCGAGGAGTATGGTACATTAAATACAATTCTGACTTGAGAGGATCAATTCAAATAAATCAATAATTCGGCCAACTGAGATAATTTCATAATTTCAGAGTTACCGCAATTCAAATATTCATCGTAGAGTTGACTAACATCACATACCAAATTATACCTACCTACCTATATATGCAACTATAAACCCATAGTGAAAATATCTCAACGTCATGGAAAAGCACCGTCTGTTAGGTCATTAAAAGTCACCTGTCTTCCATTGTATCTCAAAACACCATAAGCTGAATCATCAACTTACTATTAGCAGCTTGCGCCTTCTGCCGGGCTCGTTCCAGAGCTTCTTTAAACCAGGCTGCATTTTGGGCATCACCAGATTCCTGAGGCAAGAAAACTTCTCATTACCTATCGTTAGATTAAAATGATGGAACAAAAAGATCAAGTAATTAGGGATAAAATTGGCTGGTGATTAAAAAATAAACATGGGTCAAAATGGTAGCAACTGTAAGGTTACCCAGTACACACACACAAATTTTTTCCGTGTATTGTATAGGGTGGTCCAAACGGAGCGCAGAAAGTTATTTGTAAACCATAGCTAACTTTTTTTTACAGACGTTTTGATCAATCTGTCGTTGGTAAATTCAAGCATGGATTAGTACACAATTGAGCAGCACAACAAAGTGGTTCCTCTTTTTATGAAAACTGTCAGTCTACTTGAAATGCATTTGGAGCACTTCGTGAATCTTTTGGTCAGCATAATCGCCCAAATGAAACCACAATGAGGCGTCTTATACACAAAGTTGAACAAACTGGGTCTGTAGGAGATGTGAAAACACCTGTGCATGCTCATAAAAGTCATAATGCAGAAAACATTGCTGCTGTTTGCAACAGTGTGGCTGAAGAGCCCTACACATCGACTCAAGGTCATGCTCAACATTGCACATGTCGCGCTCCTTGCTGACCCGTATTTTGCATAAACCCCTGAACTTGCATGCTTACAAGATTCAATTGACCCAAAAACTGAAGCCTGCAGACCATTTAAAGCGTTGTGAATGGTCAGATTGGTGGTTTGAAATGGCAACAGTGAATGATGAATTTGCAACAAAAATCATCTTCAGTGATTAGGCACATTTTTTTCTCAATGGATTTGTCAATAAACACAATTGCCGTATTTGGGCAAATGAGAATCCAATAGTGATTGTCAAAAAACCTATGCATCCACATAAAGTAACTGTTTGGTGCGAAGGCTGTGGTGTGCCTTCAAATGAAGGCACACCACGGTGGCAAACATTTAGCCAATATTGTGTTTCACACATAATTGCCATGAACCATACTAACAATGTAAAAAGTAATAATAAAGATTTCATACTTACACTGCGTTTTATTCACAATTCATTTTCTGCGCTGAAAATGGACCACCTTTTAGTACTTCTATGTATAGTTTTTTATACTAAAAGGCAAGAATCCTTTTGCCAAATCCAAATAGGAGTGGGAAAAAACAAAGAATATAACAATTATACAATAACATGTGTAACATCCTCACGGTATTAGGAGGAGGATCTTCAGCTGTAGCAGCAGAAGAGGGATGCTCCGCTTCTGTCTTCAAGGGAACTTTTACAACTGGTTCTGAGTGAAATAAAATCATACTAAATATGACAGCACACAAAATTTTACTTACAACTGAAAAAAGTTACAATAGTTCAATTTTAAACTTGTTATTGGGAAATAATAAAACTTAATACCCATTTAATGGTACCTATAAATGTGTAAAATTTTGAAAATGTTTAAAATATATACGTAATAGGTACTGTCAAACAATAACATCAATCTAAAGGGCATGCACAATGAGCCGCCAAAAATGTGATTTGGATATTATAATTTCTTCAACAAAATTTTAATTTCTTGAAAGTTTTTCATTGTAAATTGGAACTTAAGCACTTCATTTAAATGGTTACGGTATTTCAAGGCAGAATATTGATCCAAATCAATACATATATGAGAGAATGTTAGCTTAAACCTAGTGGAATTCCACTTGTATAACATAGCCGTGCCATCTAAAACTAAATGCCTCGCATCAAGACAACTACTGGTATATAGCCAGTGAGAACCAACAAACATTGCTCAGCCGCTGTAATATTATATACAGTGGGGGGAAATAAATATTCGTACTTGAAAAATCGTATTTTATTGTATGTAAGTACACAAACTTAACAAGAAAAGTTATTTAAATTGTGTATAGAGACGCATAGTATTCAAAAATACTATCAAAAGAAATTAAATCTCAATGCAACAAAAAACAATGCAACATGTTCACTTTTCGGGGTGAAAAAAGTATTCGTACAGTTTCACCCCGAAAAGTGAACATGTTGCATTGTTTTTTGTTGCATTGAGATTTAATTTCTTTTGATAGTATTTTTGAATACTATGCGTCTCTATACATAATTTAAATCACTTTTCCTGTTAAGTTTGTGTACTTACATACATTAAAATATGATTTTTCAAGTGTACGAATATTTATTTCTCCCCACTGTAGGTACATATATATAGGTATATATGGTACCTAAATAAATGTATACTTGTCTAAGATTGTCTGAGTGTGATTTAGCCGGGCACTGCAAATCTGTTGAGGCACATATCTAGAAAACTTGTGTTGGGATACTTCCTTGACCTGATATCATAGGTACAGTATTCTAAGTGGGAGAATAGTTTAGGATTGAATAGTCTAGTCTGTTAAAAATTTCAACAAATCTTGGGGATTTTGGACCAAATCCTTAACAGACCCATCTCAGACAAACTTAGGATAAATATAAGACAAATTTTAAGCAAAATAAATATAGGTAGGTGATAAAATGAGTCAGAATAACAGGATTTTCAAAATTTTAGAGATTTTCAAACCTAAGCTATGTGGAGCTTAACTCCTCTGCAAAGTTCACAAACAGTGAACTAATATCAGTGAACAATAATAACTAATAATAGTAATTTGTGAGATAGTTTTTGGTACAAGTAACTTACCTTTTGGCTCAGGGGCTTCAAAGCAGTCACTAATTGATGAGCTGCTACTGGACTTGGATGAAGCTGATGAACCACTGCTGGCAATTTTACTCTTCCCAATAAGCCTGAAAAGCATTGAATGTATAAAACTGAAATATTCAGGATCATGTATTGAAATTCTGCCAACAATATATACATAGATTGCCTAATACTATCACAGTTTCATTTGGTACCATGTTAACACATACCACTTAAATACAATTAACTGACAACAAAATTTCTTCCCTAAAAATACTGTACCTATGTGTCAAAATATGTTTAGAAATAAGTAAAAATATCTACAAGTCAGGCAAAATAAAAGTACCACATCAAACGCTTGTATTTCAGTTAATTTGAGGACCAAGATCAAACACTCTTTTGCATTTACAAAAAATAAATAGCTAGAAATCAAGCACTTAAATTTAAACATTCTTTTGCATTTACAAAAAATAAATAGCTAGAAATCAAGCACTTCAATTTAAAGAGGTACATATTCTTCAATTTGAAGATGCCAAAGAACAAATGTGGCTACAGCAACATGGTGCTTAGGCAGTCTCACTTACACTTTTTGTAACAGGCAATTTTACAACCAATAAATATGGCTTATTGTAAACGATTCAGGGTTTGTACTGATATTTAAAAAGAAAATTCCATGACTTTTCCACAACTCTCCACAACCATTACAATAATTTTCCAAGACACATAGTATATGACAGGTTTAGCATGACTGAGAGACAAAAGGTGCATATTGTATCATCTTCTACAGTTGATAAATAGCTAAAGTGTAAATGCAAAGAGCAGGCAGAGAGGAAAAAAATGACACATCTGAAAATCAAGCCCACACTGGTATTATTATGAATTCAATAGTGTCAAATTACAACATATATTGAGTAATTCACATAAGATTGTACATGATAATGTCAATACAGTTCTGAACACTCTTCAACACCTCTACCCTAATATTCAACTGGCAGCTATTTCATCAACTTTCTTTAATTTTCAGTCAAGAGTGTTTAGCTCCTGTTGCTTTGTTTACAAAGATCGCCTCATGGCATTGAACTTTGAGATAACTCCCCCTTTCTCTCCATTGCTTTAGCACATTCATCTGCTGCATGCTCAAGCACCTTGATGCCCTCCTCCATCCAGCTTTTCTTCTTCTTCAGTTCATCAAGCTCATCCAACAGAGCCTTCCATGTCTGGGCCTTTGCATTACAGGGTTGGCAATGATTAAATCAAAATGATTAAATCATGTGATTAAATCACTTGATTTTTTTATAAAAAAATCATGATTTTTTTTGATTTTTTCGATTTTTTTGATTTTTTCATATAATTAAATATATTGAGTGGCAGTCTTTAATTTATATTGAGGTATTGTTATTCATGGTTTAGTATAAATGTACTATAAATGACAAATTGGTATATAAACTTGTTGCCTTTAGTGTGTATTAGGGTCAAATAAATTGAATGTTTTTGGTACAGAGGCATCAAGTGTGCAATACATTGTAGGTAGCTAGCAGCTTAGCTAATTCTTATAAGGCTATAAGTAGTCTTTAACTATTTGACTATTTGTTATATATTGATTACAATATACAATTTAAATGTGTTAGCTAGCTTATTATACAGGGTGGGGCAGAACTGATTGAACAGTTTTGAGGCAAAATAAAAGAGTAATGGAGGTACATAAAGAAGAAAGTTTATTTTCCTCATGATTAGCATAACTACCATTTAAAATACTTATGTTTTGCAAACAATATCAGGAAAATGGGGGTTTGTTAGCTGCATCACATTGTTGGAGTCGTTCTCGGAAGTTTTCTACAGCACGTTCACACATATGGCGAGGTATGGCCATAACCTCTGCTGCAATAATCCATCCCCTTAGCTGTGGTAGGGTGTGAGGGCAACTTCTGAACTTCTCTTTTAGATGTCCCCAAAGAAAGAAATCGCAAATGCTCAAATCAGGTGTGCAGGAAACAGGAGACTGTGACAATCAGAATGCAGGAAACAAGAGACTGTGCTAATCAGAACGCAGGAAACAGGAGACTGTGACAATCAGAATGCAGGAAACAAGAGACTGTGCCAATCAGAACGCAGGAAACAAGAGACTGTGCCAATCAGAATGCATGAAACAAGAGACAGCACAAACACACGCAGCACAGAAAAACACTTTATTTTTTTTTCTTCTTTTATTTGCAAATTCCATGACTTTCTCAACCTATGTAATAATAATGTTGGGCTTGGGCCTACTTTACAGTCTGCCATCGGTGTTAGATGGCATGGAATATACCTATCCAAAACTCAAGCAGCAACCACCAGGGCTGGAAATGTTCTGTTTTTCTGAAATATCACGGTTCTAATATCATATCATTTCAGTAGGTATGAAATCTCGTGGCTCGATTGTCATAAATTATTGTTTGATTGAAAAAGAAACGGTGCGCACTTTGCAAACATCTCATTTCATAAAATTTTTCACTTTCGCAATCCGCATTGTTTACCATTCCCGCCAAAATATCCTGCAAAACGTACTCATCATAATGTAAACAAGTCAACCTAAACGGTTCGTTGACGATCACACATAGTTGCAGTCACGTCAGACTGCATCAACACGTGTTCAGCTTACAGTAAAGACAAATGTAATTGTTGCCGTTTGACTGTTTTAGGGTAAGATTAGAGATTTGGGGTAACACATGCATGGGCTTTGTAAATAATTTCATGCCTTGTAAATGGCCTTTCATGGCCAAGATATGGAATGCACAGCTTGAAAAATGGAATCACGGCTTGAAGAAATGGAATCACAGCTGGCAAATCCATAAAACCAAGGCTCAAAAAATTCAGTTGCAGGTTGCCAAGTAGACATATTCCATGCCTGGCAACCAGCCAACCATCATCCTGAACAAATGTGGAAACTTCAAACTTGGGCAGAAGCCAATGGTAAATGGGACAAAAACACATTCTTCAGTAAGCATAAATAATTTTTAACCATATTTCTTCAGTGAGAATGCAATAAGAGCCTTTTTACCATCAATACCATGCAGGATGGAATTCTAATTTTGAAGGTTCATATATTATTTCGATCCACCAAGACCACTTTTTCTACACAACATCGTTATTTGAGGCAAAAAATGAACTTCTTAAAGGCTTAAAATACATACGCTAACTTGTCAATATTTAGCTTATTACCTTGCTCCGTATAAACTTTACAAAGCTAATGAATAGACATAGTACCAATAATTGTTTACCCAAAAATCCCTAAGTGGTAAACACCACCTTGGCCTGTTGGCCATTATTGAAGGCAATAAGTGCCCTTTTTAGCCATCCATTATGATCTATATATATAGTCAAATGGGGTAAGACAGGATCGCAGGCTTCATGGGGTAAGAAAGGACCAGCCCATGGCATGCATTCTAATTGCACTGAAATTAATTTGACAAAAGAATATGTTAGAGCAATCATTACCTGTCATTTCAGTGTTTGTTTCCACCCTCTTCTGCAAATAATGAATTACTGACTAATTTTTAAAGAAAACCTATGTAAAAAAGGGTCATAAAATAGTTAACCCTGTTTGGGAAATAAGCTCTGTCTAATGACAAAAAATTTTTTGGCCAGATTTATGAATGTAGGCAGGTAACCTCAAGTAATAAGCAACTTTTGAGACATACTAGGCATTCCTACCTGCTAACATCACTGCCTGACATGTATTCTACAATGGGGTAAAAAAGGACCGGACATGGGGTAAGACGGGACCACTAAATGATCCTGTTTTACCCCACAGGCAGTCCTATCTTAACCCGCAAATGGTCCTGTCTTACGCCACAAATGGTCCTCTATTACCCTACAGTTTATCAAAAAGAGTTTTTAAATGAATATATTATTGTGTAGACAAGAATTTTGGAGTACATGGAGAATTTTGGTCAAGATTTTTATCTTTTGCTCAAACTTCATTATAACTTGTTAGCTTGTTTAATTAGAGGAATTTAGTACACTATTTTAAATTGCATCAAAGGGATATAGAAGAGAGGGATGTCTCTTCCCATTAGTGATCTGCAGAACTATGTGCAAGATTGGCAGGGGGAAAAATCATTGTGTGAAACATGAAAAATAATTATGATTACAACTCTGTGAGAGGGCATGAGCTATGTTTGAAGAAGTGCACCACAAATGCAGTTAGCAAGAAAAAACATGATGTCTGTCACTTAGGTTATTATCCATTGGTTTTATTAACAATTTGATAAATTTTTCAGACAATGACACTAATGGAATATACATGAAGCATCTAGCAGTGCTCTACAATGAACCAAAGCCAACCCACTATTACTATGCTTAACAAAGTTTTCTCATGACAAAAATCCAATGTGACTGATATTAGTTGACTTCCCGAACACAAAATAGTAACAAGTGGTTGTTTAATCAAATAATGTGTTTCTAGATGGATAATATTAAATATCAGATTTGTACTTTTATTAAAAACCTTGTAACATTAGAATTACCCGTTGGTCCTGTCTTACCCCAGCCTGGTCCCATCTTACCCCAATGGGGTAAGATGGGACCAGCTCACTTTTTTTAATCTGTACAAAAAACTATGTTAGATGCAAAACGTTTGAGTTGTAAATTAGAAGCCCATTGCATAAATACACCTTGTGATGGGTTTAGGGTTTTTTTAGTTATTCATGGTATAGATGCTACAGGCTTGTTAGTGTTTTCGGTCCTGTCTTACCCCATCTGACTATACTGCTATTGTTAGTAGGCTAATTGCAACATAAAAAATAACACTTCAAAAAGACAAAAAAGTTGAAAAAATAAAAAAAATCAAATAAATCAAAAAAATCATGAAAAAATCAAAAAAATCATTGATTTTTGATTTTTTTGATTTAAAAAAAAAAAAATAAAAAAAATCGCCAACCCTGTTGCATTATGCTCTTTCTCTTCTGTAAATTAAGTATTGTAGGCTTTTTGGCACTGCCAGCTGCAAGCAGCATCTTCTTGATGATGGTTATGGTGTCCAGGCCACCAACATGGGCAACATGATCAACCACAGTATGCAGGGCAACCACTGTTCACTCTTTCATGTGTGTCAAGATTTCCTTGTTGAACAAAAACAATTTTTCAACCATGGCTTGGCCATGTGACAGGAGCATGAGCATCTACACTACATTCCAAAGCTTCTTGTAGGTGCTCTTTGACATAATGGCATGCCAAAAAGTTTCCAGTGCATCAGAAGTTGAAAATGCTTGAAACTGTGTGTTCAGTTCACTGCAATGTTGTGATTCATCTCTAAAGTTGCACATCTCATCCACAACACCATCCACATCTGTGTTAGGGAATCTCTTGGCATCAACAAGCAAAGTGAGACAGTTCTTCAATTGTGTCTTGATGGCTTCCTTACAGTCCTCATTGATGAAGACTTTTGGCACCAGCCATCTCAGGTTCCTACCAAGGCCATACTTGATGGGGCTCTTGTCTAGTAGCTCTTGGACTACTGCCTGTATGAAGTCCAGTGCTCATGTCCCTGCATGAAGTCCCATGCAGAACATCTTCTACTGTTACAAAGATGGTCAGTTTGCCATTGGGGTTGGTTTTGGCAGTGTATACAGGCCTGCTCTACATCTCTACATTCACAGTGGCAGTAGAGCAAGAAACTGCAGAATTCACTCTTGGAGTAAGAAACTGCAGTTGCATTGCTGTCAGCGGACCACAAAACAGAAATGAGTGACTGCGCTTTGCTTTTCTCTTCACTGTGTTTCTTAGCTAACTTGGTGTGTTTGCTGCCTTTGGCATGACTCTTCAAAGCTGCTTCCTCCATATTTGACACATCAAAGTCTTTCGAGCACAATGTACATAGTGCCATACCTTCATGCTTTGGATGGCAAGCAAGCCAGCGACAATAAGCTTCTATTCTTAACCACATGTCATGAAATTTACACTTTCCAGGCATGGTGACGTAGAAATTGCATGCTGAATGCTGCCACTGCACATCAAAAAGTTGTCGAATGCAACTGAGCTTGGTGACCAAGCTCACATGATTGATTCTCCAATCAGAATGCAGGAAACAAGAGACTGTGCTTATCAGAGAGCAGGAAACAGGAGACTGTGACAATCAGAATGCAGGAAACAAGAGACTGTGCTAATCAGAACGCAGGAAACAGGAGACTGTGACAATCAGAATGCAGGAAACAAGAGACTGTGCCAATCAGAACGCAGGAAACAAGAGACTGTGCCAATCAGAATGCATGAAACAAGAGACAGCACAAACACACGCAGCACAGAAAAACACTTTATTTTTTTTTCTTCTTTTATTTGCAAATTCCATGACTTTCTCAACCTATGTAATAATAATGTTGGGCNCGAAAACTCTCGATGGGAGACGAAATCATTTAGAATCTGAGGTGAAGTTAATTATATAGACAACATCGACAAAATAGGCAAAAAACATGAAAAATGTATGTCTGGACGCGTATCAATTGGTATTTATAATCTGAAACAAATTTCCATCATTTAAATTTCAGTATGGAATGTGGATCAAGTCTAATTATTGTGAAATCGAACTTGACATGACCAAAAACTATGCCTGTGACGCCGCCATGTCAGATATGATCGTGGAAACAGGATGTGAATGTACGCCTTGGAAAAGTCGAAGTTTATCTCATACTTTTGTGTGAAATCGAAAACTTTGTTGGTATCGTCCAATCGTGAGAATTTTTTATCTATTCTGGATGTGTTTTTTTTATTTTAGAACTTATTCATTGCAATAATTTGTCTACTACCCTACAGATAGACGACTAGTTAACTTGATTAGGCGTTCGCAACACGGGATTGGATTTCAAACCACGCGCGATTTCGGAAGCGCGACTGTTTCTAATGAGCTCCAGTTGATCTATTTTCATTGCAGTGGAAGGTGGTCCAACGCGGTGGTAGCTGGTAGGGAGTAGGGACTGTAGGGTTGGTTTTTCGATACGTTTTCATATATGGACATGAGAATATATTACCTATACAGAATTCCATACTGATACCATGATTTATTAAAATTAGGTACCGGTACCTAATATATGATTACTGGCAGCCTGCAGGTCGCAGTTATGGTAAAATAATGAAGTTGCAGTTAGTTATTAGTTACCTATACCTATATCCAATCCCAATCCCTCACTAGTCACTAGAGTAAACAATTTGGCAGAAGGCCAGAAGGCAGAAGCCACCTGGAAATCAAACAAAAATCTCCTTGAATCTGCAATTTAGAATAGTATCAGACAGAAGTTTCCAAAAAATTGCAGGTAGGCCTAAAACATAAAAACAACTGTTTAACAGGTTATTTGAAAATTGCATGGACCTATAAATAGAATTGACATTTTTCTCATTTTTCACTAAAGATATTACATATTAGGAGAAAGCCACAAGGGTGTTTTCCTCCAAGGCTCCAATTCACAGGTGGCTTTGGTAAAATTTTCAAATTAGCCTAGGCATTCATCATCTTATTTCTAAGATTTTTTTTGTGAATATATTAGTAGCCTATTTATAGTACCTATAAACTAAAACTATTATATAACCTAATATATAGTAGGTACTCACCCTGAACGAAGAAGAGCTTTGTGTCTAGAAAAACTGGACAAACTCCTGTTTAATGGTCGAGATGATGAATCTTCACTTTTGAATACCTTGGTCTTGTCGTCATTTTCTGCACTTGCTTTTCTTTTCAGCTCAAGTTCCCTTTTCTTTTTGAGGATCATTGCCTCTTGTTCAGAAAATGCGTTTTGCCGATTCATTGTTAATCTATGCGGGCAGCGCCGCAGCGGAGAGCCGGGAACAGCAACTTCTTACTTTATTTAAAAAAATCGCTAACAGGTCAATATTTCTTTGGATTAATTTGTTCCTAAATGTGGTGAATCGAGTGTCAAAAAGACTTAACCGATAACCCTGTGCTGTGCAAGGGCTGTTTCAAGTCTGTCGACCACAATTTGAATATCTCTCGTGCAATTTACACTAGTGATTTTATATCCAAACCATTAGTCCATTACTGGTGTCTGGTGCTACCGTGCTTGTAGTGTGAAACAAGCCGCTGTTAGGCCTACCTGTCGGTCGTCTGTTTCTTCACCTTCACCACTCTGTTGATAAAGCCCATAAACCAACTAACATAAACTTCCAATGCGCCGGACCGATAGATGCAATGAAGGCTGCGGAGAAACACGTTCCGTGGCTCGGAAGAGAAAGAAAATAATAGTAAAAATGTATACACTCGTTTTTACGGTAAATTCGACTTGAATAGCTTATTGTACCTTATTACCGTACCGTATTTGCAGGGATTGAACAAATTAAAATTTATGCAAATCCATAATTAGACACAGTATTTTTGATTATGGAAATCTTCGATATTCTAAATTAGCTTTATTCGGCAACGCTGTGGTGGGCTTACAATATATTTCAGTGCTTAAGTAATGATAGTGTGTGTAGATTTATCTCTGGATCACTCGCAAGTGGCCGGTTTGTGGGTGAGTTCGGAGAAGTGATTATCCTGTGCTATGGATAACGTTATCCGAATATTTTCAGACCACAACGTTTTCATTCTGCGCGCTAATCACCAAGTTTTAACACCATTTACGCCCTAAATTACCAAACAGAGTTCGACGTTCTCGACAGTGAAACTTTTTATACACGTGGCTCATCGAAAGTCAATGTCCGAATTTGTTCGCTTAATTTCCATTAAAAACTATCAAATGAAAGCTCTAGCATTTTTAAGGCCAATTTCAATGGCAATCATAATAAAATAGTTTTTCATGCCTTTTTTATAAAATAGTTTTTCACGCCTTTAAATTTAAAATCAGTCTACAGCGCCTTCATCTTTGTTTAACCAAATCCAACCATCACCTACATTGCCAGTTTGCGCTTTGTATGTGTAGAGGCGGACACCGAAACAGTTATAACTATACGGAGCTTGCGAATTACCTATAATATTCCGGTTCAAAACTGGAAATGACTGAAAACATGTCATGGAATATCAAGTCAATAGCGTACACTACCTGTTAACGTGGACCGGCAACCTACGCTGGGACCGGGTTCACACCGTAGTGACCGTACAGCCTATTTTAGTCAGCAATGTAAACAAAGATGTGATGCTTAGTTTTATTTAGCATTTCGAATTTGAAAAAGAAAAATCACCGCGTAATTTTTCATTTATTTCTCGTGTGTGTTTCCCATTGTATCCCCCTTTCCCCTACATAATCGCAGATGAAATATCACTGTTTAAAATATCACAATACTATATCGGCGGATGGGTGGCTATTCGATTTATAATGGTGTAACTAATAATCAGCAGCGCTCGATAACTTGAACTCCAAGTCCATAAGGTGCGCTAAAGTTAGTTGACAATGCCCTTTAAATGTGCTGCTCACTGATAGAATGCTAGGGAACTGACTCGAGTCACTGATAGAATGCCGTCGTACGCCCGAGTCTAGAGTTTGGAAACGTTGTGTGGTCACCGAGATTTAAAAGGACAGAAATTTAATAGAGAATGTTCAAAGACGTGCAACAAGAATAATTCCAGGCTTGAAGGGCAAGTCCTATGAAGAAAGATTGAAGATTATGAAGCTTCCAAGCCTCAGTTATCGACGTCTGCGTGGGGACCTCATTGAAGTATACAAGTATTGTCAAATGACACGAGTTTAGATCTATGAACAAGACACGAAAAGGAAAAGAATCGGCGACAGGCCACATCAGGCCTACACTTCAGCGCCGACATCACTATGTTATGTTATGTCCCTACTGCTGACGATTCCCATTCGGTATCATCTAAAATTGTATCCACACCCTGGCATATGTCGCTCAACTGTTTCTGTGCATGGTTAATCTTGTTAAAAACGGACCTTGCATTTTGTTGTCCCAGTTCATCTTTTAAATCAGTCAACTATTGAGTCACGTATAGCAAGTATCCAATCATATATATATAATATAATATATATGATATATAATAATATATAATATATAGCGGTTTCAGCTTTTATTAGGCCGTAGGCATGTCGCCGATTCTTAACATCGCAGAAACATTCACAGCATTTTGCGGTCTCGAACTCGCAACTCACTGCTACAATTCTGCTGTGCTTAACCGCCCGGCCTCCTTGCCGATTCTGACCAGAAACTGGCACACAAGAGCTGGGATCGAACCCGCACCTCTCTGCGCCAATCTTGGTACTCTGAACTTTAACCACTGGGCCACCCTGCCCAGTCACACACTTTATCCATTAACTGAGTCAGTTTAACATTGGATCACATCATTTTGTTAACTATTTAGTTTCATTTCGTGTGCGAAGCGCTTTTTCGACAGGTTTAAAAAGTTTATGCAACGAATCTGCTTTATTAAGTAAACAAAATTTCAACATAATGAATCGAAACAAGACAACCAAATAAACCGGTTTGAAACAGTTTATTAGATTGAACAAGTATACTTGATTCTTTTTTGAACCAGTTTAGAAAATATCCAATTGTCTTATCCAATAATCTTCCCGTGAAATCTACTGATCCCGAAGGAGCAGGAGCGTCGTGAGTCGCGCCTTCTGATGGCTATGCGGGGATCTGCAGCACAGCGTACCGGAGGCACGCAACGAGCCGCATGAACTGTAATGCGCAACATAATGCATTATTATTATAACTCAGGAAATATTCAAGCGCTCCATTGAGATGGCGACGATAAAATTTGCGTTATGGCACGACTACGCACGACCTTTATTACAGAGGCGATGAACAATATTGTGACAGAATGTAATAATTAATGAGATGATTAGGTGTAAAACTGTATTTTGTCGCTTATTTAATACCGTAAATATGTACGGTGCTCGTGAACTCTGGCCGATAGCCATATCAAAATAGACTTAAATAAAAATAATCATCCTTGTAAGCCAGTTAATCGTGGCCAGTTTCGATATCTATAAGATCAGATATTTTTGTATTAGTTTTAAGCTTTGTTAATAGCAGTTATCCCATTTTGTAATTTACGGGTAGTTCTAAAACAAAACGAGAACTCAACCCAAGCCACCTCGGCAACATTCCCCCCCGCTCAATCCCCTTTCGATTCTCACAAGACGTGCTCGTGTTCTCGTAGTCGAATTCGTCCCGCAATTGTAATGAAGAATCTGATTAGGTACCTCATATGTGTTCCGAACATGTAAAGCCTTAGAAATACATGAATAGCGCATATTTAAAATTTTATAAATGGCAGAAATTCGCATCGAATCATCTATAGATCAAACGCATTGATTACTTAAAACACAGGTATAGGAAGCATCCTACTTATCAGTATGATTACGTATCGGGTATTGTTTGAGATCCGTACAGTTCCAAATTTTGAGACACACACCTGATATTTCACTTATTCTTTGATGCTCTACACAAAAACGGCGAATCCAATAATGGACAATTTTGATTTTCTTCAGCAGACATTTTAAAAATATTTTCTAGCTTCAAAAAGAAAAGAATCATTTAGAAAATTGAATGATTTCTTAAAGACTATGAAAATATATTTTTCAATTCAAGTCGAAGAATAGATATTTTCTATTCTTATTAAGAATAAGAATAGATATTTTTTATTTAGATAAAAGTCGAAAATAGTCTACTTATGCTGCTACGTGCGATACATGTGGCCTAACGTGAACAACAATCTCGTCTCTATTGAATTGGCACGACATTGCTGGTGAAATCGACAAAACATTTACACACTTTTCGGTTTTCAGTTTAGTTTTTTATTGAATTAGAGTAGGTTAGCTTGTGGTGATATCCTAAGAAATTTAATTTAAAATAACACAATTAAATTCAGTACAGATTTCAAGCATTATCTTACATATAGAGGGTAAAATAGACGAACAACTCACGTTGAAACGTTGCATCGCCTCAGCATAGCACCTGTTGTAAGCTGTTTGGTATAGTGAATTGCCGTTACATTTGCCCTTCAACACTTGCGAGTTGAAAACATCAGTGTCAAACGTGAAAGCAGATGTCAGCTGTTGAAATAATTCTTTTGTTGAGTAACTCATGTAACATTATATAACATTTTTAAGTTGAGTTAAAAACATAATAATACAATAATAAACGACGAATAAAATAATAAACGAATAAAAAAATAATAAACGACGATAATGTTCATAAAAAAGGTTGGACAAACTAATACGCGGGACACTGTATGACATCGTATTAAAAAACTACAAAGGTTTGTCAACATACATTTGGTAATTTTGGATAAAACTTAATAATAGCTTTTCAAATACGAATTAACTCGTAATTTGGTTATCAGTGAGAAATACTATAGTCAATAACTTTTATTTTAACTTTGTGTCGCGGATACCGAGGAATAAATTTTCGAATACTAGAGGAAAATTTCTTGTCTAAGCTAGGATGTAAAAGTGGTACCCACAATGACACTGCGAACCATTCATCATTGGATTTTATTCGTGCATTCCATTCCAACATAGAAAATGTGTATATGGCCCCATATATTTGATTCTCAAGGTACGCCTTTTTGCATATGCCAACTTTCCATCATATTTACTGATGTATTTCCTGTTGAATTTCTTTATGTTTTCATGTGATAATTTAGAAACAAGAGTTTTCATTGCAAAAATTTCTCCCCGTCGCCTGCGCAGGAACTACAGTGGTTTAATTAACTAACTACAGTGGTTTTTAATAATAACCTGAAATTAAACCACTGCAGTAGTTAGTGCGCAAGCGACGGGGAGAAATTTTTGCAATGACAACTCTTGTTTCTAAATTATCACATGAAATCATAAAGAAATTCAACACCTAATATCAGTAACACGGAGATTAGAATATAATCTAATTTCAGTTGGGTAAATATTGATAACTCGTCTAACTCCTGTTGTATGGGGCCGGAAAATCGTATACCTTTTGTACGATGGTGACGGTGTTTATTGGGTGGTAGATAATTCATAACTCGTCTAATTTCAGCTGGATTGCAATGGACAAGTCGTCTACTATCAAGTAAAATCTGTTGGATCAAACTTTCCTACGAACGTCTAAAGAGCGGAAAGACGAGCATTCCTACCGATGATTTACAGAATTGCACAACTGAACATTGTATTTACCAGACCAGAATTCTTCGCAATGCATAGGCAAATATTCCTTATCCACCCGTCACAGTTGGCAGCTTGGTAGGTACCGGGATATATATCCATATTCTTGCACTCCGGTTCTGTGGTAGAAAAAGCGTTGATGACAAAATGACGAGTGTTTATTGGAGCTCCCCCGCATCAAACATTCGAATAAAATTTAAATGCACAGTTTTTCGTATTATAGAATCGTTGTCTTAAGACTGAATTATAGGCAATGAATTCTTCTCATGTCAGCCAAGTAACTATATACCTAAACCCATGAACAGCAAATACAATTTTGTTTATTCGGTGTTCACTGCCGAAAGGTCCAACCTTCAATCTGCGAACAATAATGTAAATTTATATCAGAATTTGACTGAATAAATAACTCAACAAAATGAGTGGGATATTTGAGATAGAATAATTTTATGGAACCGGAACCTGGTCAATTTCTTGACGGTAGCGTTACGAGTGACTTCGAAGTTTGGAACATTAATATAGATTCAAGAATATTACGCAGTTGTACGAATGATAACGTTATACTCGATAAAGGCACTAAACTTACGACTACGAGACATGGTACGTCTATCTTGTTTTCCAGCTCGCCATCTCATCAATAAATAATCTGAAGATCTCTTAAAATGTCCTTACAGTTTACGGGATTCCCGAAGCTTAGTTAGCTATACGATATGACGATCATGGTTGAATTAATACAAGGTTGACCCACGCGCAGCTGCTCTTTGCGGATGTCGTTTGTTGTTCCGACTGTGACGTCACCGTGGTCCCAAAATGTAAATACTGTCGCGAAAGACGTTGTTTTTGTGCCGATTTTGAGATCAATTTAAAAAAAATTGCCCTCCTCAAAATCGTCATAAAAATCCCAGTAGCTTCAGCTAGTCTGTCTCTGAGTATATAGGGCTTATTAAGCAATTCTATCGTATAAAACAAATAAATTCGAAACAAACAAACAGGGCCGACTTGCTGAGACGCCGTAATCGGCAAGGAGTTCCTGTCCGATCATTCAGAAGATGACCATAAAAAATGAAGCTCTCTCCTCAACGAATCCCGCTTATATCAAGTGAGTTGATGTCTAATTATCTCTGATTAATTATGTCAGTTTTAATCTGATACTTCTCAATTTATTTACGATGTTGTACCTGTTTCAGCAAGACTGTGAGTAGAATCAGATCCTCGTATTTGATGTGACACTGGCACCTAGGCTACTAAGGCAGCAGGTAAGGCTAATGGCATGCCTAGAGATTAAATCAAAATACTGTTTTGTGTTTATGTTAGGGGCTAAGAAAGTGAGGAAAATTACCAGATATGTAAAATTACCTAGGTAATTAAGTTATTGATGAATGATGATGATATAATTGATATCAAAGAAAAAGAATCCTCAGAGTTGGATATTACTATTAGAATAGCCTATTTGTGCATCCTGGCGATTGGTGTTGGCCTTTGGCCGTGCTGCAAGGTGAAATTTGGCAGGGGAACCCAGGGTCCCAGGGACAAGGGGTAATATAGGTTCAAACATGTGCTATGTGCACATATGAATCATATGTGAATGTGGATAGCCACCAAATAATTCGGGTAGAATTCTGGGAATGTGCATTCATATATTCAAGATTGATGATCATTATCCAGCCTAGTAGTAGTAGCATGATCAGTCAATGCCAATCAGGTATAAAATATTAGGTAAATATAAAATAAAATTTAATTGCACATTTTTCAAACATATATTTCATTTCTTATTTTATATTTACCTAATAGCTATTTTGTACCTGATTGGCATTGCCTGATCATGCTACTACTACAGTACTACCTATTATTACTACTAGGCTTGATCAATGATCATCAATCTTGAATATATGAATGCACATTCCCAGAATTCTACCCTAATTATTTGGTGGCTATCTATATTGTGTAATTCCAATTATAATGAATATCATTCTTTGGTCTGAACACTGATGAAACTTATTCATGAATCACATTTATAATATCTGCATCATTTAAGAATACACAAGACACTGTAACTTATAAGTCTCTAGTACTGACAACTGACATTATTCATTACCTAGTCCTAATTTATTACATGAATCATGAAAGCCAATTTTATCAATAAAATAGCTAATGGGGTGTTTGGGCATGGTGATCATTAATGGTGAATTGAGACTATATTTTCAAGATGGCAAAATCTAATAACTTTACTTCAATTGTACAATTTGTAAAAACAGTGAGAAAATTTTTAACCTGTCTGTAGATGAGAAAGAAAATTTTAAAATAATTTTGGGTGGGTAACAAGCTAGCTAAGTCAATCATCTTGTAATCCTAATTGCTCTACAAAAAAATTGTTTTTGAGAAAAATTCGTATAAAAAACATTGCAAAATCTTCTACTAGGACAATGTATCAGTTGAAGCTTAATGAGTCTAACAATATTATTAATTTTCTCAGACTTAGACTGAGAACTATACCCATACATAGAGACAAAATTTTCAATTCTTTACCTTGGCAGATGGGAAATAATTTTTTTTGTAATGTACAATATTTTTTTGTAATGTGTTTTGTGTAATGTAATACATGTTTTGTTAGGTGATGGTAACATAGGTGCTTTATAGTTTCAGTCCAGCTAATCAACTTGGAAAAATCAGAATGTGTGTCATAAAT